TATATATTAAATAGATTAAGAATGTATTATTTGGAATAATAGGTTTATTTGTATGAAAACTATTACATAATGGAATGAAGCAAATTGAAGAGGTGTTTTAGATCTGGATTGATTTAATATTTAATTGAATGTTAATTTAATAAGATGATGTTTTTGTTTGATAATATGGATGTTATTAGGTATGATAATTAACTGGATGAAATTTGAATCTCGTCCAATGGACTGAAATGATTTAAGATTTGATATTATCTTGTTATCTTAAAGAGATTGATTGATGGATGGATTAGATATGTATAGGATAGACCAATATTTTATTTTAATTAGGAGATATTTGTGGAAGAAGAAATAAACAAGACTTATGATAAAATTAAGGAACTAGAATATATTTGGAAGGAATACCTGAATTGATAATGTGCTTATTTAAAGTTAAACTTGATTATGGTAATTGTAAATTCATAAAGCTCTAAAACAGGTTTAGGATTAATAGAAATTTAAATTAGAAATGGATTATCTTAAATATATTAAGCTATTTGAGGGAAATAGAGAGGGAATATTTGATGTATTGATTTGAGTTATTCACATATGGTTTTATTTTTGGATGTTTGATTACTCCAGCACCACGGTGTGTCTTGAGCACTTTGTTCTAAGAATTAAAAAACCAATAAAATTTGTTTTAAAATAAAATATTGTTTGAACTTTTTTTACCATTTCCTTATGAAACTGTTCTATTTAATCCTATTGTTTTTTTTTTACAGGGGACTATTATTATCCCAGATCTGCGTTCTGTTCTTCTTGACCCTGAACAATGGGAGACACCTGAAGAATTTAACCCAAATCACTTTTTAGATAAGGATGGGAAGTTCATTGAACGGGAAGAGTTTCTGCCATTTGGAATAGGTACATCCTTGAGCCCAAAGCAATTTATAATTTATAGTTTCCCACCACCACCACCGCCACTAAAATCACAGATTCTGAAATTATCATGGTCTGAACAGAAAATCCAGGAATCTGAATTCCTTCTAGTTTCAAAACTGTGGGAATATGAAGTTCTCCTTAGGCTACAGGGTTTCAATGACAAAGAAACATTAGTTATAATTACATTCTAAACAGTGGAGTTTTATAAGAAATGTACAAGTTTGCACAATTGTCTCTGGTTTTGGGGGGATAATTATTAGCTAAATCCAAAATCTGAGCCTATATCCCAACATATTGTCTGGGTTTCAATATCTAATTTACTAATACATATCAAGTTCCTTTCTCTCTACCTCATTTCTTTAGCCAATTATAAAAAGTATCCCATGTTCTAAAATAAATTGAATCTTCTTTCTCTTTCATTTTAATTGTCAATCTATCCATTTCTGCACACTGTAAGATTTTTTTTTAATTAACACTTCCTCCGCTGGTAGATCTTCATTTTTCCAATATTGAGCAAATACAATTCTTGCTGCAGTTAATATATGTAAAATTAAATATATACACTCTTTCTCATAATTATTTACAATTATGCTTAACAAAAATAATTCTGGCTTAAAATCCAAATGTTTTTTCATCATTTTTTCTAACCATGTATGTATTCTTAACCAAAATCTTTTAGGTTTAGAGTATGTCCATCAAAGATGGTAATACCTGCCTATTTTTTTGTTTACATTTCCAACAATTATTTGATACACCTTTAAACATTTTTGCTAACCTCACAGGTGTTAAATGCCATCTATAAAACATTTTATATAAATTTTCTTTGCACGCTACCACTTTTGTTATTTTCAAATTTCTTTCCCAAAGGCTTTGCCATTTTTCTAGTTCTATGTTATGTCCAAAGTTCTTTGCCCATGTTATCATTGTTTCTTTAACTTGTTCCTCTTCCATTTTTAAGTTTAGCATATATTTATAAAGTTTCTTGATCAATTTTTCATCTCATCAGTAATATCTTATCAAATTCTGTCTGTTCTTTATAGAACCCAGATATTTTAACATCTTTTTCATATCTCGTTTGAATTTGTAGATATGGCCACCATGATAAATCAATACCCTGTTCTTCTAGTTCTTGCCTATGTTTTAATTTTCCTTCTTTATTCAAAATGTCTTTATAAGTCACAGTTTTGTCATAGTTTATTAAGTTTGGATGAACAAACGCTTCCATTGTGCAAAGCCATCCAGGTATTTTCATATAGATTTTTGCTTTTATTTTTTCCCATTCTAACAGAAGCATGTTTCTTATGTAGTGATATTTAAAGTATCTGTGAATTTTATTTTTTCCATACCACAGAAAGGCATGCCATCCAAGTTGTAGGTCGTGTCCCTCTAAGTACAATAATCTTCTATCTCTAAGAGTTATCCACTCTTTTAGCCATGTTAGAACGTCTGCTTGGTAATATAGACTCCAGTCTGGCAGTCCAAATCCTCCATTTTCTTTTGCTTCTTGAAGCATTTTCAATTTTATTCTAGCTTTTTTTCCATGCCAAATAAATTTCAATATTGATTTGTTTAGTTCACAGGTGTCAAACTCACCATGTCACATGATGTGTCGTGACGTATCACAACTCTTTTTGCATTGCCAGCAATGGGGTGGGTGCGGCTTCAGTATGATGAAACCGTCAGTAGGCTGGCAGTTTGACACCCCTAGTTTAGTTCATCAAAGAAGTTTTTCCCCACTTTTATAGGTATAGTTTGAAACAAAAAGAGTATTTTTGGTAGAATATTCATCTTCATAGTTGCTATTCTCCCCGACATTGAAAGTTGTAGATTTTTCCATTTTTTCAAGTCTAGTTTTAGTTGTTTTAATAATTTTACATAATTATCTTTTTTTATTGTTGCACATCTTGCTGTTAGGTAGATTCCCAGGTACTTAACGTTTTTGACTATTTGAAGACCTGTTTTTTCTGATAGCTGATTTTTTGTTTTTCTGTAAGATTTTTAGTTAACAATTCGGTCTTTTCTCTGTTTATTTTCAGACTTGCCACTTCTCCAAATTCTTCTACCTTTTTCATAAGCTTAAAGCTTGTCTCAAGAGGTTCTTCTAGTATAAAAACTAAATCATCTGCAAATGCTTGTAATTTGTATTTTTCATTTTTTATTTCCAATCCTTTAATTTCCATATCTTGTCTAATGTTTCTATTTAATACCTCCAATGTTAGTATGAATAGCAATGGAGATAGGGGACATTCTTGTCTTGTGCCTTTTATCTGCAGATATACCGATGACACTTTCTCCCTTGATGGCACAGATAGCAAAGGGCATAAAAGGACAGCTTCAGTTATGACAAATGTGAAATGCTATTGTTCTCCCAGAAAGCTTAGGTCTTATAAGTGCAAAAGAAAAGAAAGCCTTTATTTGCAAATAAAAGGTTTATCCAAATGGGCATACCTCTTGTGAAGATCAAAGTTTTTTGAAACTGGGTTCTGATTGCTCTACCAAGAAATATTGGCAAACACCACACCACATACCACCACCACCCATACACACACCTCAATTACTCTTTCAACTATTCTATTTGCTCCCTGCTCTTTCAGGAAATTTCCCTTTAGTTCTAGATTGGTTCTCTCCTTGATTAGTTTCCATCTGTTGCTTCTTTCCAATCTGAAGGACTGGAACCACTGTGCCCCCATAGCTGAAGTCCAACAGAGGCACAGAAGAATACTTGGTCAATGAACTGAAAATTAGCTCTCTCCACATCAGGTTTCTGACATAGTTTATTTGCCAAGACAACCAAAACAGATTCAGTAGCATAGATGGATAAATTCCATGTTGAAATGGTCAGTTTCATTCCAATGGATTTGCAGCTGTCAGACCATTGATGTCTCAACACTCACATTCGTCCAGGCAGCCAGATGTAGTAAGCAAAAAATAACAAGAATAAGTATTTGGTCACTGAAAGGGAATTCCTATAGATTATGTGCATTGCACCTCCTGTAGTCTGATGCACCAGAGAATAAGTGGGTGGACAGAGAGTTGAGAAAGTGACTTCCTTGTTGTAGGCTCATCTGGTAGTACATGCGAGATCAGTTATTTCCCAGGGTGTATAGCTTTGCCTTTGAAATGGTGTACCATCTACCACAACCTTAGTTAAAGTTATGCTATGAGTTAAAGTTATGCTCAAAGATACTAGGTCAATATGGAAATCTTCTTGGGATCTTATAAATCTTTTCAGATTTCCTTCATGATGTACTTATAAACTGGAGAACAGATTATTATCCCCTTCATGCATGCTTTGTCTCATCTACAGGTCAACGTGCATGTGTGGGACAGCAGCTGGCAAGAATTGAGATGTTCATCTTTGTGACCAGCCTGTTGAGGGCCTTCCACTTCCAGTTGCCTAAAGGAGTGAAAGAACTCAATGAAGCACCTGTCATAAGAGTGACAATATATCCACATCCTTACAAATTTTGTGCTATTCCCACAAAGGTTTAAATGTAAACAATATAAAAAGCATGAAAGTAATTTTGGAGTAGCTATTCAATATAATAAATGTTTCCTATATACCTATTTTCTTAATATTGTGTTTTGCTTCTATTTACTCAATACTGAAACTTGTTCAATATATTTCTGGGTTCCCACAACTTCATAGATGTCCCCAAATGATACCATGCTTGAAGTATAAAAAGCTGCTGACAGAATTAACAGAACAAGAAAAAGGGCATGCCACCCATCTAGATCCCAGTGCAGAACATTTTTCATCCCATTCTTAGGGCTGAACTTGGACTAAATCCAATATCTGCTTCTGTTTGCTCTGAGGAGAGTTTCCTGTGATAGTTGAACCCGTTAAGCAGCAAGGGCCATGGTGATTGTACACTGTACATTTTATTTGATCTGTATGGCTATGTCACCATCCTCTGCTACCATTTCTGTATAATAAAACAGATTTTCTAACAGCAGGTTTCATTCCAAAGTTAGTTTACTTCGCTCCATTCTGTATTAGTGAGTCTTTTCTCCTTTAATTATAATACAGTGATACCTCAGTACTCATTGTTAATTGGTTCTAGGAGGTGCAATCAGTACAAAAAATGACGAATACCAATGAAATTTTCCCCATAAGGAATAATGGAGTGAATCACAAGGCAGTGGACACCAACAGTTCTAGCTTCTGCATTGAGTACCAAACAAACGATGATTACCAGGACAAAATTATTGCATCAAAATTCATTGAGTACCAAATTCGATGAGTTTCCAAGCAGTTGAGTACCAAGGTGTTTAGTTCTTTCTGGTTCCCATTAGTATCCAATCTTTGAAGTCCCACTTTATCATGTTGTTCCTAATCATTAGCCTTTTTATGGAAAGATTTCTTATAATTAATTTCAAAATCTTCATATATTTTTTAAAAGATTCAACTCTATCTGGTCCCTTAGTTTGTTTATCACTTTCCAAAATGAAGGTTGTAATCACTCCTGTGCTGTTTATTCCAACCTAAGAATTTGTAAAGATTTAATACTTACATAAATCCTCATTAGCCACATATTAAAGGAAACGCATGTAGTGTAATCAAACTTGCCCTTCTGAAGGATATTAATATTTTTTTAAAAGCCCATTAACAAGAAAATTCCAGGACTGACTTCCAGAACTGTATTGTGGATTTATTTATTTATTTTCAATTTCTTCTTCTTCCCTTGGCTTGGCTGCTCCTTCTATTGTCATTTCTTCCTGTCTCTTTGCTTCTCTCTCTGGACGGAGTTCCAAACTTTTCCCTTCCATGAAAGCTCTGTGGTTGTCATAGAACTCTATTGCCTTAAGTGGTGTATCCAATCTGTATCTTTTCCCAGCTCAATTAATTAAAATCCCTTCTGGAATCAGCCATCTGAAAGTCACTCCTTTTTCAGTTAATTTTCTGGTCAGGAATTGATATTCTCTTCATACCTCTCTAATTCTCCTTAGAATCTGTTTCAGGACTACAATCTCTTTTTCTTTATATTGCAAAGTATCACTCTTACTCTTCTCAAAATCTCATCTCTTATGGATCTTTTGACAAATCTGACATGTACCTCTCTGGGGACTTTATTTCTTTTCACAGAGCTTGAATTGACTTGAAATATTTGATCTAACTCTCCTTCCATTTCTTGTTTCCCGATTTCCAGTGCTTCAGCCAATAGCTCCATTATCAAATCCTCAAGGTCCTCTTCTTTGTCCTCTATTATATTTTGAAATCTTAGGAAATAAGATGCCCTTTCCATTTCCATAACTGCAATTGAATCTTCCATTTCTCTTATTAATCTGTATCAACTTTTGGTTCTCACCTTTCAGTTCTGCCAACTTTTGATCAGTCTCTAGTGACTTATCTTCTACTTTTTGGATTCTTTGTTCATTTTTTGTGGCCATCTGTTTAAAGTTTTCTAGTTGAGAGTCTATGCTGTTAATTTTTTGGTTCATTTTATCAAGATTGTCTTTTGTCTCCTCATGATTTTTCCTTATATCTNATATCTTCCTTATGAGAGGAAATTGCTTCTTGAATTGCTTGTAATATCACTTGCATCTCCTTCTGGAAGTTGCTAGCTTTTTCTTGTTGGACCATTGTTTCAATTGATCTCTGATACACTGGGCTTGCAGAGGCGGAGGATGTGGCTGAAGACACTTTCATACCAGTTTTACTTAGATTCAGAACACTCATTTTATTTTTACCTCCCAAACTTCTTTTTCAAACTCTAAGGCTTTCCCCCCACACCTGCCTTCAACCAAGCCATTAACACTATATTCAATACAATATTATCTTTAAAAAATTATAATCCTTATCTATAGACTCAAGATCCATAAGTTCTCTCAAGAAGAAGGTGAGCAAAAACAAACTTCTGAAGATAGAGCCCATTTCCAAAAACCGTTAGGAAAGATGAAGTAGGTAATCCATAGACCTTCTCCAAGATGTTTCTCCCCTATTTCAGTTTCCACTGTCCATATGTTTATAATTTATAGTCCACTGGGCTCTCCCAAACCAATAGAAGAGGAAAAAAGTGAAGAGGAAAAAAGAAAAAAAATTAACGTTACCCCTCTGCCAAAAATTTGTCCAAACTATATTGCAAGCAGACGTTCTTTCGCTCAGTCTATCATTAAGTAGTTGTAATAGTCACAATTCAAACAATATTTATAATCCAAAGGGAGGGGGGTCACTTCCAAAGATAACTGTTCTGGATCCAACGTTGCCCCTAAGTCAAAATTTATAATCCACGAAGACCTGCTATTCGAATTAGTAGTCCATAGGCCTTCTCCAAGAGATTTTTCACTATTTCAGTTTCCACTGTCCATAAATAGTTCTCCAGTCCAACATTAAGAATTTATAATCCACACTAACTCTGTCTTTAAGCAGCTTGTAGAAACGCAGTTCAAACAGTACTTATAATCCAAAGAAAAAACAGATCAAAATAAAAAGCAGCCCAGAGAAAGCCTTCTCTTTTCAGCTATAATTGACAGGACTGTGAAGGTCAGGAACGTCAAACACTAAAGGATTTAAACTTCAAACTATGTCTGGGCATCTAGCCAACTTCTAGCTTTCTAGACAAAATACAGGTAATCCCCCCACGATACGAGCATTTATTTAGCGATATTTAAAAAAAACACGAGGTTATTCAGAAAGGGTACTTACATTAAAAATTCAAAATTGCGATAAAAAATAGGCCTCTGTAGCCATGTGACTTGGATTCAGTCTCGGCTGCTGCGGCAGACATTTTAACTCTGTGACTTGCCTGGGCTGGTTCAGGCTTATGAGAAGCCAGAAGTGCTTTTGTGTGCATGTGTGTGTGTGTGCCTGGTGACACGGCCAAGCAAGATTTTTGCAGCTGGCAGGTCCATTTGTTTTTGTTTTCCTGGAGCTCCGTGTGGAAGATCTGCTGCTTGCTGGGCCTGAGGACTGGGCTTGTAGAGAGCTAGAATTACTTCTGTAAGTATTTTAAAATATTCTTTTTTGTTATTCTATAGTCCTGTACTGTATTGTTTGTAATTACTTTGGGAATTGCTCTGATTTTCATTGTTTTGTAGGTACAGTATTTTGCAAGATTGATTGTTTGCATTTGTCTGAAACTTATAGCATGTGGTCGCTCCTGCTCCTTTTCCTAGCATAGACCCACCAGAGATTCTGCTAACACTCACTGGAAGGAAATTTCCCCTTTCCCCACCCCATTTTGGATTTTGGCTGGAGAGGCTTGTCCTGATAAGGAGCAGGGTTTTTTTGTTTTGTTTTTTAAAAAGGTTTTAAGTTGTGGGTGTTCTCTCACTGGAGGCTTTTAAGAAAAGTCTGGATAGTCATTTATCAGAAATACAGTACAGTACTGTACTCTCTTATGAGAGCAGTGGGTTAGACTAGATGATCTCAAGGTCCCTTCCATCTCAGTTATTGTTGCAAACCAGCAGTTCTGTAAACTCCACCCCTTCTCTCTCTGCATGCCTGGCTGTAGAAGCTTAAGCTAATGGCCGGCAAGTGTTTGTGTGTGTGTTTTAAAGCAGGGCTTTTCAACCTTTTCATCCATTGTACCACTTTTAGTATATGGCAACATCTGAGTACCACCAGTCGCTTAGCAAGGTGTCAAAACCCTTCCAAGGCTCAACCCTTCCAAGACCGAGTGGCTGTGGTTGCCGGCGCCTCGGCATAGTCAGCTGACGCCATCGCTGACTATAGGGGGTGAAACCTTGGCCCCCTCGGAGAGGGCGCACAACTTGGGAGTCCTCCTGGATTCACGGCTGGCACTGGATGACCATCTGTCGGCCGTGACCAGGGGGGCGTTTTATCAGGTTCGCCTGATCCACCAGTTGCGGCCTTTTCTGGACCAGGACGCCTTGCGCACAGTCACTCATGCTCTCGTCACCTCCCGCCTGGACTACTGTAATGCTCTCTACATGGGGCTCCCTTTGAGGAGCACCCGGAGGCTTCAACTGGTCCAGAATGCGGCCGCGCGCGCAGTGTTGGGAGGGACTCGTCACTCCCATGTAACACCGCTGTTGCGCGAGCTGCACTGGTTGCCAGTGGCCTTCCGGGTGCGCTTTAAGGTGTTAGTTACCACCTTTAAAGCGCTCCATGGCATAGGACCTGGCTATCTCCGAGACCGCCTTCTGCCGCAGATTCTCTCCCATAGACCGGTACGCGCTCACAGAGTGG